GCTACTTTCAGTCAGGCAGTGGACCACCATGGTGGTCGGGGTCCTGAGGTGAGAGCAGTAAGATGCGTTAAGCTAACGTGGTCTCAGAGCTAAGCTAGCTCTCATAACCTATGCTACATTAGCTAATAGCTAGCTATTATTTTAAAAGAGAGGTTGTTAAGATTAGGGTCAGGGTAATGGGAATCATACATCTCATAACCTATGCTACATTAGCTAATAGCTAGCTATTATTTTAAAAGACAGGTTGTTAAGATTAGGGTCAGGGTAATGGGAATGATGCATCTTATAAATGCTAATGCTAAGTTGGTGATCAGCTAGCTATGAAGTATTACGTTAAAAGACAGGCAGTTAGGGTGACAGGAATAATACATCTTCTTACCAATTCGTTAGCTATGAAGTAACATTATTACATTAAAAGAGAAGAGGTTAAGGTTAGGGTAAGGATAATAGGAATGATACATCTCATTACTTATGCTATTGCTAAGTTAGCGATTACGTTTAGGGTTACATCCCATTACTTACAAAATTAATCATTTGTATTATGAATTATAAAATGGATTATTGCTACATTTAGTCACATTCAATCACTACTGTGTAGCATTGGGGTTCAGATAACCATCGTGCTGGCAGGTTTGTCGTGTACTTGCGGCGGGCGCAGTTTTGCGAGTGTGCGCATTCAAAGAAATACGAATCCTGTGTGTTTCCATTAAATGTATGGATTTAGGTGAAAACTACGAACGCGAGTGAGTTTTCCACAGAACCGGAAACAAAACAAGTCTCGCATTCTTCTTCTTCTACGTTTTCTGGCGGTTGGCAACCAGCTTGTAAATGCATTACCGCCTTCCCGACCCGGAGTGTGGATATCACATGGAGAGAGGTGCGCTATGTCAGACTTAATTCGAACATAACTGTTTCCATCCCCTGTTTTGCGAATCAACATTTTTTCGAATCAACCAAAACCCGGCTAAAGCGAGTATATTTTAGTTTGTGCCAATCAGGGGATTTTAATTCGAATTTTGGTGTTTCCATCATAATTTTCCGATGCGATACTTCTAGATGCACATCTAAACAGGCTGATGGAAACATGGCTAATGATTTCTCACAACACTCAGTTTGGAGTGTGCCTTTAAAAACCCTGCGTTTGGCGAACCATGTAGCCCGAACACTTCACTCTACCCCTTTATCCCAACAAGAATCAGGACACCCTCCAGACATCAACTGGCAAATCAGAGGGGGAAAGGCTAAGCGGCAGGGGCAAGGGGTGTATTGTGATTGAGCCTAAATCACACTTGTTTCCCATTGACTGACCCTCTTTGGTCCCCCCAAAACATAATGTTTAAGCAGGAATGTTACCAAATTAAAGAGTTGAGATGCCCTCAAAATGCTGTTTCAATGTGACTCTTTGTTTGTATGATTTAATAATAAGCAATACGCTTTGTTTTGGTTTTCCTTCTTTCTTCTTCTCCCTTTTAAGAATGTTTTATATGTCCCTGGGGACAAATAGCCCTTGCACCAACTAACAGACATCCAAATAAACTTGAACTTAAAACACTAACCCCGAGCATGTGGTCAACATGTGGCCGAGCTCACGTCACTGCCACTCTGGCCCTCTGGAGAGTCAAAGAGACCAGTCTGGATGTTAAAGGAGAACACTGGCAGGCTCTCCACAGTCATAACATCCCCGCTGTGCTGTTGACAGGAGTCTCCGGCACACTTGGGACATTGTTTTGTCAGCGACTCAACAAGCACATCCAGCTAATGGTCGAATTTTGTAACAGGGACTGGGACATGCCACCGTCTCTCAGTCCCGAGGTAAATCAGAGCAGCATGTGGACGTTTGAGCTGTCCTCACAGTGCACACTGATGTGTGTGTGGTCTGCACTCAGTGTCAAGACTGAACTCAAATTCAGCACAACATCATAAATTTGTAAATGCTGCATGCCACGTTAACCAAGTCAGGAAATGTTTTTCCATGTCTCTCATCATCACATGGACGATTAAGAGTCCGAGGCAGTCTAAACCTACAAACCAGACTGATTAGTGTGTGTTGGATAATTACTACACAGTCTAGATTGAGGTCGAGAAAGCATACAGTGTGCGTAGATCAAAGCCTCAAGAAATGCTTTTCATCGTAGTTTTTCTTTGTGCAATCACACAACAAGTAATACAAAAACAATTGGGTCGTAAAAATACAATGTTAGGATAAATTAAATTAAGAAAAGGAGAAACACTGAACCAGCACGAGACGCTCCACAAGGATGCCGTAGTCTCTGAGGCAGTTTTTAAACCACAGTGTCATCATAATATTGAGGTTGGCTGAACTTCATTTGAACTGCATTTACAGAGACACAGTGCTGCCACTGACCAAACTAATGCTAGAAAATATGCAATCAGACAAGTAACAACTGTATTCTGTAAGCAAGGACGTGATTGGACAACCACTGACCAAACAAGTTTACCAAAATTAAGGAACAAAAGGTTGATAGACAAGTCTGATCAGGGTTTTCCCTGGCTCAGAAAGGGGCTTTGGTGGTGATGTCTGCAGCGCGCGCTTTGCATTTGCATTAACGGATCATGCAAATGTATTAAGCGATGCCATATCTTCTCTATTAGACAAGAGAGGTCCAAATAATACAGTACATTAGGGCTGGGCGATATGACCAAAATCTCATATCCCGATATAGGTCATTTCATATCCTGATAAAGATACGTATCACGATATAGCACATTTTAATCCAATGAATAAAAAGGTTGTACGCCGCACCACCTGATTTGGTCTGAATATTGTCACCGTCTCTGCTCTTTCTCAGCGCTGCGGGGCTGAGTCCTCAGTGTGTGTAGCACAGCAGAGACAGACAGCGTGTAGTTATATAAACTTGTTATGTTACTGTAAGTAGCACCTCAGGACCGAAACATGATCTCGCTTGTCACCAGGCTGGCAGTGAATGCACCAGCACCTGCGTTCTGAGCTGACGCGAAGCGTGGGGCTCAACACGTTACTTAGATCTTTGATGAATCAAAGAACTCGATTAGTATTGGTCTAATGTCGCGTTACCAGGCTCTCGTTATTGGTCCGAACCATGGTGAGTGAACTATGAGTGGTTGCACTGAGATTTGAATTTTTTTTTTTCCCCTACCTTCCTGGCTTCCACACAAATATACACAAATATTTTCTATGCAGGGAAAACCCTGCTGATTCAAATGACCCTTTAAAAAAAACACTGTTTGAGCTTCTATCAGTTTGATCCATTTTTATAACCAATATTGTGTGTGAACTCGCTAAAAGATCATGTTCATGGGGCATCTGTGGCTTAGTGGATAGAGCAGGCGCCCCATATACAAGGCTGTTGCTGCAGCGGCCCAGGTTCTACTCCAGCCTGTGGCCCTTTGCTGCATGTCATTACCCCTCTCTCTCCCCCCCCTTCACGCTTAACTGTCCTATCTATAAAGGCAAAAACGCCCCAAAAAGCTGAGCCCTCTGTTTCCGTCCTCATGGTGTGCTGAGTTTCAGGACTCTGTTTGCTGATTGGCTACGGGTATTCTCTTGCCACAATTCATTGCTTAAAGTTAAACTATCCCCAACACTTAGTATGGCCGCAGCTTTCCATAGCTATTGCATGGCAGCTCACTGCAGGCCGCACTTCGTCGCAGCTTGGTGTTAAAAACGCTCATTCACTGTTTTACGCCACTCATTGTGCTGGTGTTGTGTTGAAGACGGTTTCTCCTAAATCTGAACCAAACCTTATCCTTGACTGATCGAGCAGGATGTACGGATCAGGTAGTAACAGGTATTGCTATGTATTTTAACTGGAGGGAAACACGATTTAACAGAGGAACACACTCCGACATAACACCTGCAGGGGTAGTGCAACTGTTTATTCAGACAACACAGCTACTGGTACTGATGAAGCCAGTTCATATGATTATTCAAGGAGTTTTATGGACCAATCAGGAGGGATTCCACTGGAAAAAAAATCTCACATTTTTATGCAAACTGTGCCGTCGGGTCTAAAAAACACAAGTCAAAACATCAGCCACATCAACAACGAATTTGAAACGCGTCCAACTAGTCTTGTGAAATATCTACAATTGGACAATAATCATAAGTTTTATTTTATTCATTTATTTTTTTTAATGTAAGACATTAACATAATCTAGTTCATTTTTTGGAATTGTGAACTCAGGAAAAAAAATTCAACTTGTGAACTATGAACATTCACAACACTGTTTATAGTCCTCTAATATGATTTAAGGATGCAGGTGAAATTGAGACAACACAGAGGACCTGTTGTTCCTGGAGGCAAAGCTCGCCGACGCAGCAGCACGTCAAGAGTACAAGAGGTCTGAAAATAGCCTCAGTACAAGCAGTACTTAGTGGAAGCACTGGAGGGTCGGACGGCTCTTTGGGACCTGAAGCACCTCTTAACTTCCGCTGTCACCACAAGCTGTGCTTGTACACAGAGAGTCCTCAGCTCTTTAAAAGGTTTTTTCTTAAGCCCACATGTTGGAGGTAACGTCTGGCACCAGGAATCATGATTTCTTACAGTGTTTAAAAAGAAACACAGCGAAAGCAAAACTCATTCTCTCACATGGATGCTACTTGTTCTTTAAAAGTTCACCAAGTCCGTGGAGTTTTAAGTATCTCCAGTGGGCATGTCATGGAATAACTTTGGGAGATGAAATGGCAAAGAAAGTATTTAGGGAGAATAAACAAGCCCTGTGGTAAAGCCCTGCTCCAATTCTTCATTTTTATTATCCTTCAAAGTATTTAGAGTATTGCATTTCAGCATAAAGTCGGCGAGACAAAACCTACTGTGTTCTCTGACTCAGACATGTCATGTCATATGTGGCTTTTTCTTCTTCGGATTGTCAGATAAAAACTGGAAATACTGAATTATAATTAGCTAAAATAGTTTTTGCCACACAGTTTGATTAAATGTGTTGACATGTTTGAAGTTTACTAATGGCCAATACTTGAACTTCTGCATCGTGCCGCTCACCTCTAGCAGCTCTGAGACGATGGGCAGGACCTCTGGGTTGCAGATGTCGATGGAATCGTCCCTGTAGGTCTTCTTCTTGTAGCGAATGTTTCCCAGGTGGAGGATTGCTGACAGCAGCGAGAAGATCCTGACAAAGAAAAAGAAGAAAGGCACTCCTTGTTAAGACATTTATATTATTTTGGGCGACCGAGCTACTGTCTGACTGAGCGTCTGTGATCAGAGATTTTTGACCAGGATACCTTGTCATCATCTGATCAAATACTTGTCTTTAAATACTTTTTGCAGTGGATAGAAAAAGGAAGTCAGATTTATTAGTAATTTCTGATGCACTTCCAAGAATCTGACTGTGCAAAGCTTCCTGACTGATTCCTGCAAACACACAGAATTTAAACTAAAGTTCAAAAACCCCAGGGACTTTATTCATCCTCTAAACACTATAAAGACTTACAGGAAAAGTTTGACATTTTTGGAAATCCACTTATTTCCTTTCTTGCCGAAAGTAAGATGAGACAATCAATACCGCTCTCATGTCTGTTTTTTAAATACAAAGTTATACAACAGAGGACACGACATGCTCTGAGCTATTGATAAGTACACTAGAAATCATACTATGTAACCATCCCTAAGCCACATCTCCTGAGCTTCCACAAATATTAAGTTTTATTCTCCTTATAACACCTCTGACCCTGATTGTAACAGACACGAGTGAGGTTTTGTGATAATGTACATAAGATAACAGTTGTAAACATCAGGTAGCTTGTCTTACTGTTTGCGTGTGGTGGGTAAGAAGCCGACCATCTCCATAGCCAGCTGCAGCCGCTCAAAGTCGTGTTTCAGATCCTCTCCTTCCACTGTGAAGCAGTCCTGCTGGTGTCAGGTGGAAACACACAAACACAGAAGAAGAGAAAAGGACGGACAGAAACATCAGCATCACAAAGGATTGAAGATTTTTTTTACTGAATATGTAACATACTTATACTTATATATACTTAACTAAAACCTGCCTGATGACAATAAAAACTATTGAGGTATGGACAGTGAAGACTTGGCTCTTTGTGAAACTACTAAATGCTTCAGTTTGAGCTGAATGAGTGTGTGTATGTGTCTGACCAAGCAGGGTTTCCCAAAATATTTCATGTACAACGTTGGCCACTTTATCACACTTGAAAATGGCATTAATTTATAAAGTATAACATTAAATCAGAAATATAACAAAGTCATTGTCTTAAAACAAAGTTCTGGCTATCAAGTACCAAGTCAAGACTAAAAAGGCCAGGGTGCCCTGCTAGCTCGCCTGGTAGAGCGAGTGTCCCATAGGCTTACAAGTCCTGAGCAGTGGCGCCAGTTTAACATCGACCCAGGGCCCTTTGCTGCATGTCGTCCCCCCCGACTGCCTTTCCCCTGTTTATAATATCTAATAAAATGAAAAAAAAAGCCTAAAATAATCTTACCAACAAAGCTAGAGTCAAGTCAAAATCTGAAACTTTTTAATCCTAAACAAGTCACTTTAGCCCCGTTTCCACCAAACCAAAAGTAGCCCTTCAGACATGGTACCTAGACCCTGGCGTTTCCACTACAAACAGTACTCTTAAATGTGGGCGGGGTTGTTGTCACTCACTGCTCCGTCCAGCACTCATTGTATTTCTTTATAGATGGAAGTCTGCACCTCATTTGTCGTCCACAGAACGAGACTGCAGGCTACAGTGGAAATGGGAAAAAAGCATACCAAACTGAACTGTACCGTACTGCTCGGTGGCTTATATGCCCTTTACCATTTTTTTTTCTTTTAAAGAAACAAGCAGTGCTTTTCAAAGTATTTGTATTTCTTACTTTTGAATAAACTTCTAAAAATTTAAAAGCCAACATTATTACTAAGGTGTGTCTTGGTATTCCTGCTATAAAGTCATTTCCCTTCTGCTCATGAGACGTGGTTAGTTGCAGTTGGATCGATTTGAAGAATTTTCAATAGTTGTCTTGAGAAAATGTCAAGTTATTCAAAGGCTAAAATCCAAGCCAAGCCATTGGTGATTTTGCTGAGTGAAGTCTGAAGTCAGGCAATCGGTCTGACAATGATAAGCCTCTCCGGCAAACAGCCAGTATTTCAGGGGTTTCAGTGTAGCCAGCAGATATCAGTGCCAGGGCTTTCTCTTCTATGTGCTGCTCATTCGGCTTATCTCCATTATAAAAAAAGCTTTAAAAAAGAGCTAATAAAAAGTCATCGCTAGACGATTGCTGATGGGTTCTGAGATTGGCTTTTTAGCCTATTTTGCTCTCCTCACAGACCTTTGCATGGTGGCTCAATACAACTTGGGCTATAAACAGAACTCAGAACACCTACTATACCAAAATTTTGTACCGTTGCCTACAGATTCTCACACATATGCAGATATCTGCTTGTAGAGATTTATGACTTGAGTCCAAGTCCGTGTGAGTCCACACTTCGCTCCTCAGACAGAGAAGGCCACATCTTTAATGGGTAAGACCACCGTGTAGGGACTAAATTCATCACAGGATGCTAAATGTTGTCATAATGGTCTGACTCAGCTCAACAGATGACTGATTAATCAATCAAAATGTACAGTCTCTTTGAAGTAATTAATTAAAGCAACATGTCCCGATGCCAGAAAAGAAATTCTTCTTAAGTCGAGGAAGTGAAACGCAGGCGCTCTCTATTAACAAACTTTCAGGGGAAACCCTGCTAAGCAAACACATGAGTGCATTTCTGTGTAACAGGGAGACACTAATATCATACAGTTACAGTAAAGCAGGGTGAGAGCAGGAATGTGTATGTATACAGTGACTGTGTGTGTGTCTCCTCCAGTCGGTCAGCATGTCTCTGCTCCGGCAGCGAGCCTCTCTCAGGCTGTAATTAGCACATACCACAGCGAGCGGCCAGCGAGAGAAGACACAGGAACCCATAATCCACACTCTGCATTGCCTCTTCTCTGCTTTAACATTCAACACTCGTCTGCCTCTTCATTGTTTTCCTTTGGCTCACAACTCGTCAGGAAGTGCAACAATCGGCGTATTTCTCCAGTGAGCTTCTCCAATTGCAACAAAAGGGGTTTTGAGGCTTCTCATCTACGGCAAGGACCCGGGAAAAGCCAGTTTTCAAATTGCCGGGTATGTTAGACCTCAACACCAGGCAGCACAATGTGATACGTTGAAGGCAGTTGAGAAAATAAAGAGATCAATTCTGGCCAGTTGTGAGGGAATACTTTGGTCGAACACCAAACCCTTAGCTATTGGTGCTTCTTGAGTCCAGACTAGAGATGATTAAGAAACAATCTGTTCTTCTTACTTGGTTTAAACAAAGAATCTTTTCTCGCTTTAGAAATTGTAATGTTACGCCAGTTGCAACACTTCTGGTGCAGGCATACACCTAATTGAGTCAAGTCGGGAGCCCAGCTGACGCAGCACATGGAGCATTTTTAACAGATCACTCATGTATCCAGTTAAAAGTTGTGTGCATCCAGTCGAGGCTTACCTCCTACTTACCATGACTTAAACATGATTTATGTTGTCAAGGCACCCGCTCGATTTTGCGCCAAAAACAGCATGCCACCCCGTCACTAGACATTCCACACGACCAAAAACCATAGACACCCAAACAGGCACAAAATGCAAAAATACAGCCACAGAGGCCCAGAACCAAACACCCGACTGCACACATCAAATGTAATCATCCAGAAAATGTTTGGTCTTTGGGATCTTTAGTCAAATACTTGAATTGTTTTGTGAAATCACACTGGTTTGTTTTCTATTTTCGGCTCCAGACGTTGCATCTGGAGTCTGTATACACTTGTCGCTGGGTGTCTCTATTAACTGCAGTGTGCCCCCCCCACCCTTCACATTGACCACCAGTGGCAGAGGTCAAGGGTTAAACAGGCCCAAAGGGCTGGTCAGATGCTCAGACAGCTGTCAGGAGCTGCTGAGCTTTGTGTGTGTGTGTTTGCGGGTTTGTCAAGACGGTGACATCATCTCCTTAGACGGTGGGGTCACAGACTGATGAGGTCATTGACTGACCCTTGAGGGAGACATCGTGTCAGCAAACAGTGAGACGGGACGGTTATGTAAGGAAAAAATATGAGAGAGAGGAGCCAAGTGAAAATAAGCCCAGAGCGAGAGGGAGTCAGTGAAGTTAAAGGAGTAGTTCAACATTTTTTGCTTCCTCTGCAAGATTGAGACAACAAGCTACCATCAAAAAATGATTTAACGTAAAAAGAAGAATTACAGGGTAGGGTAAGACATGAAAATATAGTCCCAAATTTCATTTAAAAAAAGGCGGTGGCACACAATTAAGTCTATGGAAGAATCAGGGTGTGGTTAGCCTAGCTTAGCATAAAGACCGGGGAAGCAGCCTGGCTCGCACCTACAACACCTCTAAAGCTGTCTTATTAACACAGTGAATGTTGGTTTGTTTAACTCATACATGAGCAGCATATTCATGGGTCACAGGTTAGCATGTGACTCCAACCAAAACCTGAAGTGGTCTTTGTTACATTTTTGTTTATGTATTAGTAAACAAACATGACACAGTGTGTGAATAAGGCAGCTTTATAGTTGTTAGGAGGTGTAGTTTTTCACTTTGGACAGTGCCAGTGCCTTTAGACGGGTTCCCTAAGTCTTTATGCTAAGCTAGGCTAAACACATATTGACCGTAGCTCCATATTCAAAAGAATTATTCAACCACAAAATGACCATTTGTATATCAATTACTCACTTAGTTTTTCTCAAATGCCTGCACTTGTATTTCTAGTCAACTGACTATTCAAAGTGCTTTTTACACTACGAGTCACACACACATTTACACACTGGTGGCCAAGGCTACCATACGAGGTGCCACCTGCTACTCAGATTTTTTTTAACAAACTCACACACCGATCGCGGGCAATTTGGGGATCAATATCTTGCTCAAGGATAATTCGACATGCAGACTGGATGACCTTCTCTATCCCTGAGCCACAACCCCATGGTGAACGAAGAATCCAAAAAGGCATGAATTGAAGTCACTGGGGACCACGTTTAACAACAGCAAAACTTTATCAAAACATCTGTTTACAAACTCTCACACAACTCCTGCAGTGTAATCCAAGTCTCATTTATCCAGTTGTACACCCAGTACTTCACAAACACGTGCATTGCTGCTAAAACATTACAATATAAAACATTTTTGCCCATGAGTAGCACACCCTGAATGTGTGTATGGGCAATGTTTGTAGGACGTTTTAAAGCGAAAATGTCTGTGTTTGTAAAGTACTGAGCATACGACTGGATAAATGAGACTTGGATTATACTACAACAGTTGTGTGAGAGTTGTTAACAGATGTTTTTAAATAGTTGCTGTTGTCAAATGTGGACCCCGTTAACTTCAATTCATAAGGAACGTTAACCTTTTTTGGATTTTCTGTTCAACGTAGAGGCAAACGAGAATTAATTAATGAATTCAGTGTAACAACAAACAAATGGTCATTTTGCAGGTGAAGTATTCCTTCGACACATCAACATCAATCTCCTCATCTCACTCTTGGAAAGAAAGCAAATAAGCATTTTGATAAAATGTTAAGAGTATTCTTTGAAAAGAATAATGGAAAATCTCTCTTTTGAGGATCAAATATTCGCTCCCTGTAGACCGGCTGTGAAACGCCTGTTGCTGATTCAAAACATCATCAAAACTTCCCAAGGAACCTCTAAAATCACTCCTCCAGCATTGATTCACATCTTTAGTTTGTTCCAAACAATACTTCCAACACTTTGGAAGTATGATATTTAGAAATTTATGAGCTAAGAGTTTTCTGCAGGAGTGATTTGAGAAATTTCCAAAGACAGGATACATTTCTACACAGCTTTAGTTCTGACTCTGGGTCACCTTTGGAACCCATTGTAACTACTGGGAATCCAAAATGACGACAGCAGAGCCCTTTCCGAGCCGACAGGAGGGGAGTATTACATTATTCAAAAGACAGATTTTTGGTGGAGCGGCAGGATGTGAAGCAGGACCTACAGTACAAGTATTAAAAAGTGAGTGTCCTCAGAAACCCTTCGCCGGATGAAAGAACTTTTTTCTAAAGTGGGAGACAAAGAGCCAAAGTCAAGAGGGAAGACCACTGGATGAGTCGTATTTAAACTAACCGACCCTCATGTCAAGTGTTTGCTCACCGGCAAACTCAAGTAACATAATCTCCTGTTAGGAGATACTGAATCCTTAAACCACACACAACAAATCCCACTGACCAAACATTACTCACTTCAGGTGGAGACTGTGGCAGGCGCAAAGACTAGTGAAATGGCAAACACACACACACAAAATGGACCACACACTTAGAGGGAAGTTTCAGGAAGTGAAGCATCAATCACTGTTAAAACCTTCTTATCAAAAGAGCTGCATGTGAGGAATGACTCTTTAAAGAAATGGTGTTTAGATAGCTAGAAATACGGGCATGTGTGACTTGGGATTTAGCTCTTGGTCGACCACATTTCAGGGAATCAAAATTTGCTGCTATTTGACATTTATCATCTTTGATAATAAAAGCAACTGTTCATCTTTAAATTTACCTTCCAGAGTACTATTCAACTATTCAAGCTGTAATGCCAAACACCTTCATGGCATAAGCCTTTTTTTCTCCCAGTAACAGCCATTTAATGTATTTACGTTCTCTAACTACCACTTTATAAGGTAATTTTCATTGTTAGCGGCGGGGTCCGCCATTCCACTGCTGGATTCTAATTGCATATCGACATATAAGTGTAATCCAGTATTTGGAATGTAATCTCATTGATCTGGGCCTTATTGATCACTCTCATGCAGCCTTATAATAGCTGTATTAAGTTACTGCTAATGCCAACCCAACGTTTCTCACCACCATTTGTTGTCATTAAGAACATTCAACTGGAAAACAAGGAGTGGAGGATTATAACTAACCATTCTGAGGGTCCTTACAATAAGTGCTTATTTATATAGGTTTTTCAAAACTGTTTAATATAATTACCAAGTATCTGTATTAGTATTGGACAAAAACATTTAATATTAGACATTAGGAATGCAAAACAAAGTTAACTCCTAAAAGGTCCAGTGTGTAGGATTTAGTGGAATCTATTGGTGGAAATGGTAAATAGTATTTAAACTATATTTTTATTAGTTCTTAATCACCTGAAAACAAGAACTGTTGTGTTTTTGTTACCTAAAAATGAGTTTTTATCTACATACAGAGAGGGTCCTCTTCCGTAGAGTCTGCCATGTTGTCCAGTTGAATTTCCCTTCAGGGATGAATAAAGGTCTTTCTATTATATTCTATTATAGTCTATTCTACAGTAGCCGTAAAACAGACAAACCAAACACTGGCTCTACATAGGGCCATTCATGTTTTTACATTTTTACCTTTGTTGTGTCAGCCACCGCAGTTCTCCTGCATGCGTGGCACATGGGAGAAGTTTCAGTTCTGTAACCTCACCACTAATACCACTACATTTTACACACTGGACCTTTAAAATTGAAAAAAAAGGTGTGCATTGTAGCCAATCTTAACAGCATAAAATCTAGAGCTGCCCCCTAATAGTTGACCAAACATTGGTCGACCAGAAAGGTCATTATTTGGCAAGATTTTATTAGCTGCCTAGTTGCAGAAAAAACAAAATCAAATGTGAAACTCTATTAGGAGCTGCACCTTGTCAAAATAAATCAAAACCTATATGACTGGACCATGTGGGAATTTAATTTGAACGGACAGACACATTGGTCCACTAGGAAAATTCTTAGTCGGGGGCAACCCTCAAAAAAAAAACCTTTTATATGTAAGGCTATATATTTTACAGCATGCTATTACATGTTGCTGTTATTATTTCACTGTTAAGAATGTGTATTTATGATCACTGCTTTGTCTACATGAAACTAACATGCAGTGGAAAGTGTGTCAGATCCTGAACCTTCCCTTTAAAGATGGCAGTTTTCCAGGTTTGACGTCATCACCCATCTCCTGACAGCAAAGCATCCAAAGCCAAATATTAGATTAAAGGGATTCCTTTATGTTTAAATTTTTATTTGGTTATTCCGAGCATGTATATAGTCATGCTTCTTGGTTTCAAAAGGAAACGAGGAATGTAAAAGCTCCATTTCTTATCTTACAAGGAGATATCTCTTTTTAAGAGACAAAAAACTTTGTCTCTGACATAATTTTTAAACAAAGAAATTACAGTAAATGATGTATTAGTTTATTTCTGTCATTTACTGATACTGAATGTGTGACACCTTCTTTAGAAGTGCACAAATATTTTGAGATAAAAACTCATCAGTTACAGCAAAGTTGTTACATTAAAGGTATCCCTTTAAACGTTTTCTTTATCGAGCTTGACCAGCTGAGGTCAGCTCAGGTCGCCTCCATCTTTAGTCCATTCCAGTGAAAGCAGGCATGTGTGGACAGCGAAGACAGCGAGAGAGAGAGAACAGGCGCAAGACTGGCACCAAAAACCCAGAGTACCACGACACACCCAACGAGCACAGATGCACACAAACAACTTGTCATCCACATGATACTGACCAGATCGCTCTCATAGTAATTGTCCCAGTGGAGTTTGTGCAATTTCTTTGTCATCTGGAAGCAAGGCAGAGCGGGTTAAGGAGGCAGGAATTACACACAATAATACGCACACTTACAGAGCCACAGATGACACATGCTGTTAATATGTGAGGAGAAATCTACTAATCCTCACACACACAAACAGACACATACACAGACACACGTACACATACACATCTCCAGAGCTGCAATAATTGAATCCATGATCAGAGATGGTGGAGGATACAACCAGTTTAAATTTCAAAAACTGCACGTCAATCAGTGAATGAAAACGTAAACAACGAGGGACATAACAGACGTTTTGACACTCGTACACAAAGTACACACATCTTTTACTTGAGTAAAAGTTGCAATAAAGGGTGAAAATACTCCATAACATTACATGTCCAAGTTTAGCAAAATCTCCTCAAAACCTTACTAAAGGAAATTCTTTTTAGTATTTTCGTGATATTACTGGATAAATACGACTGATGAATTAATGTGGAAATAGCATTTCACTGTTAATGTTAGCTGGTTAAGGTGTACCTAATTTTAACTTCATTACATGCTGCACTAGGTAGTTAAATCTGTGACAGTGTTGTAAGAAAAGTGATCATCTGTTTTGTGCAACTGTAGCCATTAAATAAGTAGTGGAATAGAAGTAATGTAAAACTCAAATTGACTACAAGTACCTAACGATTCAAGTTATAATCCTTAAAAGTTCATGAAATCAACCCCCGTTTTTAAATATTGTTTATGGTCAATATGTACATTCTGTAAATATTTCTTTATGAAGAGTTTCTATTGATAGTGGCAGGGTCCGCCATTACTGCACTTGAATCATAATGCTCTCCTCGGACGAAGGACAAGGTAATTCAGTGCATTTTCTTTCTCACTAATATCAGCCTCACTGTTTAGTTTGAGTTACTGCTATCACGGTCACAACCTTACCTACTGCTGATGCTTCACATTAAATATGATATGATGTTTGTTATTAAACAGTTGCTTATTTACACGTCCAACAGACACATAGTAATACTATAATTCATGTGACTCATGTTTGTGTCCACCTGATGAATTTATACCAATATTCAGTCTCTTTTAGCTCTGTTCTGGGTCTCCACCAACTCCTAAGGGAAATATGTGACACTTTAGCTGCTAAATGCTCCACTTTGTTCACTACTGGTACTGAGCAGCCACCTTTATAGTGCTTTTTGTTGAAAACAGTTGTCTGCTGCGACCGAAAAATGGCATTATGAGAATGAAAAAAGTGAACTGAAACAGGAAAGTTGTGGACCGCACAGCTCAGCGATGACCTGAAAGTAGCTAAAAAGCATAGCGTGATAATTTCGCTAAAGGTTCATTACAAAGAGCGACACCTTGGCATTGTTCCTTTAATGTTTTCAGATTTTCTTTGACATCATTTTAGAGTGACAGACAGACACAGATGAACACACATAGAGAACAAAATCCATCTCTGGGAGAGAGGAGAGATAAATACGGATAATCATTTTGTTCCCCTGTGACACCATGTGTGTCAGGAGTGTGTGCTTGTGTGACCCTGACAAACAGCAGGCTCGCTGCATGTCGCGCACACGCTCAGACAAACGCGTGTGCACACAAACACACGCAACCGCCGGCGCCCTCTGCACGAGAGCAAGTTAGTGCCAGATTAACTCGCAAGTATTGCCTGTTGCCATGGAAACAGAACTGCATAGTAACAGGCAGCCGGCAGCAGAACATGAGGATGGGGATGGGGGGGTTGTTGTCGTGGGGATTAAGGGAGGAAAAAAAAAAACTGTTACTTTTTTGGGGAAGCCAAAAGAGATGAACAAAGGAGGGTTTTTGTTGCCTCTCCAGTGTACTGCCATAGGAAGAGGGAATATGAATCCTCACACATCTGCTGCCAACACACACAGATGCACTGCATAAGATGTACACATATGGGGGCTTTCTGGCATGTACACAAACACGTAAACACACCCACACACACATATGAGACACACACAGATGCAGGGTTGAAATTATTTTGGGGCTGATGCAATCAACACTTGAGAGCGTTGGGAAGAGATCCAGTTATGATAAACGAGTAAATAAAATCAACAGAGAGAAAAGGAAGGGAAGGGAGATGGAGAGATTTTTTCCATCATCATCTTTAGAGTTTCCATCAATCCCTCTGCGTGGCGCCTTCAAGCTTTATTTTTCAATAATAACATTTATAATCGCACTTTCTTCGCAGAGAAAATGGTTATTACCACTTCAAATGAATTCTTTGTAGCACAGTAAAATTGAAACGTCACATGGGCCTTGTGCAAGAACCACTCGCAGGAACAGATTTGTTTTAATGTGGCACGCAGGGGTGATTTAAGAGAATCTGAGACATTCACCGATTTCCTCGCGTTAAAGATTTTCTCTTGGGTACGTGTGAAATGTGAGAGTGGTCCAGACCTGGTGTGTGTCGTGCTTAGGTAGTCTGCCTTTCTTTAAAAAGGAAAAAAAAAGGACTTGTTTGACTTAAAAAAATCAAATAAAAAAACTCAAATCAAAATGACTTATTATGGTTTAATATGGGGCTGAATCTAATTATAAGTGAGGAAGAGGCACATAGGTTCCCTCACATTATTTTTATATTCAGATGGTTTGGATGATTCTTAACTGGATCTGGTTCTTAATTTCCCTCCCTACTCTTTTGGCCATGATGATTGAAATTGAGACATTTCTAAAAGCCGGACAGAAAGCTGCAGCCATCACCTCTAACTCTTCTAGGGCTGCCCCCTAATAGTCGACTGGAGAGGTCATTAGTCTGCAAGATTTCATTGGTTGCTTAGTCGCAGAAAAAAAACCGCAAAACTCTATTTAGAGCTACACCTCATCAAAATAAATCAAAACCTATATGACTGGACCATGTGGGAATTTAATTTGAAAGGACAGACACAGGAAGTGGCCACGCTGAGCAGTCAGACAGGAGTCAGGTTACAAACCAATCACAGCTGACAGATATCTTTCCCTTCTTCTGTAAATATTCAGTCTAATAAATGCGGAAAAGTTGATCATGGGAGTGCAGGGCTACCCAGAGCTTTACATCTGTCCCACAGACAATAGGCCGACACACTTATAAACAGCACCTGGAAGAAGATCAGCTCTGCACTCAGGAGTTTTTGCCAACCTGCCACCGCGCTCTTGAAAGCTGGCACAAAAAAGGCACAAGAGTGGCACCTAGCGCCCGACCTCGCGCTTTCCAGGTGGTTAAGACGCGGCATGTGTACGGCCCCTAATTTCCAGGGCTGGTACCTGCAGTTATTCCACAGGATAGTTAATAACATGTCGGGCAGGAAATCCAAAGTGTGGGATCATATGTAAACTCATCTTCATTGGTCGACTACAAACATGACGTATCATCTGAAACATGGAAGTAGCTACATGCCCATTAGCCCACAGCGTCATTAACAGGCGGCTCGCTCAGTGTGTGACGTGCACTTGTAGATAAAATATAGGCCTATATTAATGAAGGTTCATTAGTACGGTTTTGTATTTCTCTGTAATGTAGCAAAGTGTTAACAATGTTACTGATACTATTCTTTCTCACACCTTCAACTCAAACCATTGTGTTGCCCTGCCCAAAATATATAATTTAATAATTAAATTAATATCATAAACATGCGGGTGACTAGTCGACTAATGGCCCGAAATGACGAGTGTTGGTCAGCTAGGAAGATTCTTAGTCGGGGGCAGCCCTAAACTCCTCACAATCTTTTTCTACTTTTTCCATCATGGCAGAATCAGGGTTTCAATCATTTGACAGGTGACACAACAGAATGGCATCAATACATCAATGTGGAGTCTTTTTGTATTTCAATGTGACCTGAATATTGTGTTTTCTGCATTTGTGTGAGCGGACCTGGTTGAGGTAGTGGTATTCCTCAGGTTTGAGCAGATGGAAGGACTTCCTCTCTTCTTCACTGGCTCCGGCCAACAGGTAGTAGAAAACATGGTAGTTCCTACAGACACCCACAAACACAAATAACAAGTTAGAAGGTGTGAGTCTACAGCACAAAACACTCTTCCTGTATTGATTCCTTGAATGATTTAAAATTCCCTCTGAGGTGAACCGAGGACAGGAGCGTTCACACCTCCTCGCTGCGCTGAAACGACGCCTCAGGGAAGAGACTCCATTCAAAGCTTTGGAGTACTGTGAAAGAAACACTCTCTGTCTGCAGCTTCTGTCACAACCCAAACCTGTGAGTATGTAACAAATAAGTCACACCGTAACAACCCGGCGGGCCCACATTTCACGTCAAACAAAGCGGCAGTGTGATGTGTGGGCTCAAGGTCAGGAGTAATGCCTCTGTGACAAAGGCTGAGGCTGAGGCCAACGCACCCAGATGTAATTCTATTAGAGCTGGAAACAACCTTCACGTCCAAGCACGGGGACACTTAGAGCCTGATGAAGTGGTGGAAAGATAAAAGGCCCAGAGAGGATATTAAAGAATCAGGATCTGTGATTGGTGGATGGGTAGAAGGATGTTTTCAAATGAAACTGAGTGCTTTAATGTTAATGAGCTACTAATAATACCTCTATGAATTGTTTTAATTTCATAACTGTCACTGCTCCTGCTGTGAGTGCAGCCACTTTGAGGTTTTCTATCATTCCAACTATCTAACAAACAAAACATGATGCTACATAATCCTCCTGAGAGGGCTAAAATATAATCTTTTTTTATGTATCATCATCAACAATTGGTATAACAATCACCTTTGAGCTATAACATTATTAATATTGTGTTATTATTACTTTAATTTATTTATAATATATGTATTTATTTATTTATATTATTATTTATTTAATTTATCTAATGTTGTTATTATTATTATTATTATTTAGTTATTATTATCATTACTATTATTTATTTATTTATATATTAATGTATGTATGTATTTATTTATTTATGTTGTTTTGCTAGCAATTTCAATACAGTGAGGATACTTGTTGTTATTGTTGTAATTAGCTCTATCAGTAGTTTTATTATGGTTTATCTATTGATTTTGTTTGTTTGTTTTCATTTTGTTACCTGTTTTGCTGTTTCTTTTTGCCTCATATTTTTAATTATTATTAATTAATTATATTTTTTACACTATGATGTAAGTTTGCTTGTGTGGACCCCAGGAAGAGTAGTTGCTACCTTGTTAGTGACTAATGGGGATCAAAATAAACAAATATAAATAAACAATAAAATGAATAAGCACTAAAAATAACTCTTGATGATTATTAACAAGTAATAAACATTGAATGAGTAACTAAAATAGCTACTTAAACTAGCTGGCTGGCTGGTTGAAGTCACAGCAGTAAACAATAACATTGGCACTTACAGATCAGGTTTCTTATTGGTTACAGTCTTCTCAGGCCAAAGGGCACTCGTTATTTCCCCGCAGCCATTACCGACATGGATACAAATCTAAAACCACTGCCCTTGACCTCAAAAAGATTTCTGCCCACAAGGTTCGATTTAAAGGAGCAGCATGTAGGATCAAGTTTCATCTAGCAGAATGCTGCAGAATGTAACTGTGCTGTACTCATGCTCCATGACAGATCTTCTGTGGTCTAAGATTATTGCCTTCATCAATACAGTGATGTCCTCCGCACTGGTATGGACACCAATGCTTTGTCTGTTAGGTGTACTGCTGAAAGGAGGTGGGCTTAACACTCACCAAATCTCATGGTGCAGGACAGCACTCATTACTGGATGCAGGATAGTGCTGCGGCATTGGAAAACTTAAGGAGAGGTTTGACGAATGGCTAAAATCTCCTCCTATGACAGACGATGTTACAAGCACGATTGGTAAGACATCCACCTGAAAATATGGGGCCCAACTTCCAGGCGAGTCATGTGATGCCCTGGGGCCCAAAAAGACTTTTTTACATTGTGAAAGAGACATCTGTAAATCAGTGGATAATTTCTTTATTCATTATTTTTTCATTAAGCCATAAAAGTTTTAAAATGAACCAAGAGCCGAATCCAGAGTTATTGCCCCACCGACATTCATGTGAGCAAGGCACAAGACCGAGCGTTTGGAAGGCCAGGTTAAAGGAAATGTTAGTGCATTAGCTCTATGGGCCGTGGATGTATTAAGAGACCTGGATAAGGCTTTCGAGGCAGGACCCTGTTCATTCCTATGAAAGCTGCTCAGTGGCAATTTCTGTGGTATAAAACACCCAGATGATCGTTGCTGCTTTCGCATCATTGGGCCCATAGAGCGGACGCACTAGAGATGCACTAGACACTGAGCCAGCTACTTCCTGTTTAGCACTCTGCTAACTTAAATGGAGATAAAATGATTTAATCTCCCAGCTCCTCCAGACTTTCTAACTTTGATCAAACTGAATAGATCAAATTTTGAGTTTGAGTTAACGTCAGTCTGTGGGAAAAGTCTTTTGTTGTAATTCCACAATTTGACCACTATTTTCACTACGGGCTAATAGATGTGGAAGATCCCATTAATTTAGTACCCTGGATGTTAAACTTTTTTTGCTTCATGCCTCCATCTCCAACGCTGTATCCAGTTCTCTTTACACATCCATGGTTTTCCCCTGCTTCCTGTCTTTGTGCTAAGCTAAGCTAGCAGGTTGCTGGCGGTCATGATTATCATACAGATGTGAGAGCGGTATCAATGCTGTCATCAAACTCTTGGCAAGAGGAATAATTCCTTTTGAATATTGATGCTACTTTATTTTGACAGTGTAGAGACTGGAAACAAAGGGAGAAGAGAGACGAGTATGACATGCAGCAAAGGTCCCAAGGCTGGAATCAAACATGGGGCATGGCAGTGATGTGGCATGTGCTGAAACCACTCTGTTACCAAGGTGCTTCATGCTGGTGACTACAGCTAGTAGTACTACCACTGTCAATGATCACAAATTAATACCTGAAACAATACGACTAATAACCTCAGACAGAGCAACAGCTGCTGAAAACAGCACCAGCCCCAGAGTTCATCAAAGATATAAAGCACGTCAGCATCTGAGGTCGAACAGAGGCAACCTGTCATGAGACCGGAGTTAAGATTTAAGACAGTTTGCAGTTTATCATCATCCTGCCTGCTCCCCCACCTCTCTGCTTTAGGTCCAAGCCGTCTGGGGGGTCCTGTCTTTAGTTTCTACCCTATCAATATGGCCGCCAGTGCCTGTCATCAGCGTGAAATAGAAACTTGGGGCCAATCAGGGTTAGAGGGATTAGATGACTGGTGGAGGGTTCAACATTGTGTTTTGCCTCTATTACACCAGTGGGACCAGTGATTTCTCTATTTTTTAATGTCACCAGGGAGTGATGAGCGAGTCGAGAAGAGACAGTGTTTGAGTTGTCTGAGAGGAGAAATTGTAGGGATGTGTGTACAGGTGGAAATTCCTCTGCATGTGTTTATGTATGTGTGAGTGTGTGTGTGTACGCAACGTAGGAGATTCAAACAGTGTCTGCTGGTGTGTAAAAAAGAAAAAAAAACAGTGAGAACAGACAGAGTTGCTGTTATACTAAACCAGAATCTATTTTCTCATTCACCCAAATAGTTTTGATGCGTAATTAGAATTAATAAACAGTAACGTCCCGAGCTCATTAATGACCAAACTCCAAAGGAAACCTGAGAGTCTGCAGTGTTAACTCAGCAAGCAAAGGGCAGAGGCCTGTTTCAGATGGACACCCGATATATCCTCAGCTCACAGAGGAAATGAAGGCTATTTTAGTATTAGGTTTCTTACAGAAAAATCACATCAGTGCAGGGATATGGATTTGACATAGTATCTCTCAAACATGTGGGAATATGACGCTCTGTGTTTCTAATTTTTCTTTCTTTCTTATTTGTGGCTGCACCAGGGCTCCTTATTTTCAGCTTGTATAGATTTTAACTGAAAGAAAAAAAAGAGTAATTTTGTAAAGGAGCAGACTGGTTTAACCCTTTGAAACCTGAGCAAATTGGCTTGATTTCTTTTAAAAACATAGGGAGACGGCAATGAGCAATGAACTAAGAAATGACACAAAAAATTAGCAAGAAATTAATAAAAATTAAAAACATAAAAAAAATTAAAAACAAAAGAAAGAAATAATGTTGAAGAAAGAAAAGTGTGACTGAAATTTATAAAAATTCTGTAACAAAATTTAAAAAAAATGTAATAACAATAATTATGAATATAGTTTTTCCCCTAGCTTTTTTTCCCCTTGTTTTTTTTAAAATAAAAGTTCTCTAAATCTATAAATTTTTTGCACTGTGTGGGACATTTCTTACCAAGTTGCTCGTCACCTTTTTTTCCCATGTTTCTGAAACAAATGTCACCAATTTGCTCAGGGTTCAAAGGTTTAAATACTTGGGAAAGGCGTCTGAAAGCAGCACAACAGTGATGTCACTCCAGGTTTCAAAGGGTTAAAGTGATGTTAACGTGGACTTTTAAATCCACAGACTTCAAAAACGGCTTTCTGCTGCAACAAGATGCTGCTGACATGATTTTAAAACAATCACTTTTCAAGAAGGGGTTAGGAATTAGAAAACTGGCCACTGATTCTGCACCAGAGTAAAAGTAAAAAAAGAAAAACTACAGAGTGCACGCAATAATCAAAATCAGCGCTGATATTGTATCATGATGAAACTGGTGATTTACACCACTATCTACCTCATGTGCTAGTGGGCGTCCCTTTTATGTCACACTGTCAAAATAAAATCTAACCTGTGAGGAAGTCTGGGACAAAATCTTAACATGTGAGCATGTCAGAAATGTGTGAACGACATGACCAAACACCGAGCCAACCAGGTGACGATGTGTCAAAACACAATCTGTCAGATGTCCTGGTGATGAAATGATCCGCACAGAGTCTAATTTATTCTGAGAAATCATCCACAATCCCTGCTGTCAGTCTGATCTCTGCTTCCTGCGTCTCCACTCACCTCTCATTGTGCTCCTGGTACACCAGACGTGATTTCTCCAGCAGGTACTTCTCCACATACGCTCTGAAAATAAAACAAAAACACAAACAGACACACACACCATGTGTGAAAAAAGCTGCCACAGCTGATCTGATGTTAACAACACAGAGGGAAGAAAATTGTGTTGCAGACTCGTGTAACTATGAAGAAATAGAAGAAAACTGCAGAGAACATAAAAACAAATGAGAGGGACTATTAGTTATCTTATTCTATGCATTTTGCATATGCATTTTTAATAATTTGTGAAATTAAACTTATTACCTACTGTGTCTCCAGATAACTGATTAATTCTGCTTCCTCTCTCACACACACGAGGAAATTAAACTCTATTAATAGCAGTTATACATTTACAGTCAGTGTCCAGTGGATGCTTCTTAATTATATTGTTAACTGTCAACTTAACTGTTAACTGTTAATTGTTAACCATAGACAGATAACTATGGCTGTCAAAACACCACATGTCACCACTCCATCAAACAGCATTTGTAGATGTGTGAATCATGCACTTGCACATACACTCACCGGCCACTTCATTATGTACACCTGTTCAACTGCTTGTTAAAGCAAACTGCTAATCAGCCAATCACGTGGCAGCAGCTCAACGCATTTAGGCATGTAGACATGGTCAAGACAACCTGCTGAAGTTCAAACTGAGCATCAGAATGGAGGAGAAAGGTGATTTAAGTGACTTTGAGCGTGGCATGGTTGTTGGTGCCAGACAGGCTTACAGGGAGGATGGTCCCAAAAAGAGAAAATATCCAGTGAGCCAAAATGCCTTGTTGATGCCAGAGGTCAGAGGAGAATGGCCAGACTGGTTCAAGATGATAGAAAGGCAACAGTAACTCAAATAACCACTGGTTACAACCAAGGTCTGCAGAAGACCATCTCTGAACCAACAACACGTCCAGCCTTGAAGCAGATGGGCTACAGCAGCAGAAGACCACAGCAGGTGCCACTCCTGTCAGCTAACAACAGGAAACTGAGGCTACAGTTCACACAGGCTCACCAAAACTGGACAATAGAAGA